TTTTTTTTTTCATCTGCCTGCAGAATAAAAACAAAATTAGCTATAAAGCAAAAAACCTAGCAATCCACTTCGGATGGATGCCACACCGATGTTCAGTGATGATGACACTAATCCAGTCAATTTCTTCTCGCCCAATTCTTCATTGGTAAAGATCAACAGTGTGTTCCGCTGGAAATATTGCTAGTATCATTGGTAGCTTAATTGAAGAGAAAGTTCTAACATCAAAATAAAGCTAGTTCCTTAGTGTAGTTTCCGAAAAAGGTAGAAAGAAGACGTTTCCTCAAAGCGAAAAAAATCACTAGAAACTAGTGGCGCAGGTTCCTTACACTAATATAATTACGTAAACTTCAAAACACATACTGAAGACTCAGATCATATGACATTTCGCGACACAAAATGTAGGTGAGAAATCTTCGAACAACAAAAATTGAATAGCTGTTTTACACTTTGATAGAAACCTATGGTTCTTGCTGCATATGAAAATCAAACCTTTTCAGAATTTTTCTTCTTGTGAACGAGTAGGCTGAGGTACAAGCAGTCTTCGTTTCCGTTTTCATCCAGGTATCCTGGGCATCCTTTCGGCCACTCCGTGTAGGTGCCTGTCTCATCAAAAGAAGCTATCTCGGATTCCTGAATTTGACTAAAGGAGAAGGTATTCCTCAATTTTTTTCGGAATCGTATCGCTTGGTAGGACAGATTTTACCGTGAAATTCTTGGAAGCAAAAACATTAATGAGCTTCGGTGTTTTTTGTGAAGAAAAGCATGTCCCTGCACTTTCTTCAAGACTAATGCCTAGCTTTCACTTTCACGATCATCAGTGACAGCTGCTGAAATCGTTTCAAGGAGGGGGACAAAGGAAAATTTTACTCGGACCAGTGGCACCACACAACTGTGATGAATTCTCGAACAACTGTTTCGGTAATGTTCAAATTTTATTTTCAGGTTTTGATATTCTAGTAGCGAAAAGCCGATTGCGCATTTTTACAACTCATGTAGATCATTTTCAAAAATTGCATTATTTAATCAAAAAAAGGAGAAGGCGTGGTAGAAAAGTGCAGGTTTTCCAGCCCCCTTTAATTCTACCTCTGACATCATGTTATTTAGTATGTCTCTAAATGCTTAAAACATTCTTCTCAAATCCCCAAAAAATAATGAGAATATAACATAAAAAATGTTACTAGTCAAATACCCGTTGGTTAATGGTCAGCAATAATGAACACAGATCCAGTTTCTTGAACTCACCCTGAAACGTCTATCTTTGATGGGTGCCTTCACATATGGGATACCTAGATAACCGATAACGTCTGTTGATAGATCTTTCCCTTCCAGCGCATATAATACCATACTGCATCGTAAAAGTAAAAATAGAGGAATCAACATTCCGTCAATGAGGTGGTCTGCCGCAGCTGTGGAAAAAGATGGAAGCAGGACGGAATGCTCATTCTTGGCAGCTTATCAGTAAAGCTTATCAAGTGGGTCATACACCCTTGCGACTTTCTAGAACTTTCGTTAGCTTAT